AAGTACAAATATATAAAACAGACGGTTGCTATAAGTTCTATAAATCATTTCGAATAGCTGACATCTCTTTAAAACTTTAAAGGGGTCAAAACACCCGTTTTATTAGCATATGACGGGAGTCCGATGTGTTTTTGAAATGTGAAAGACAAAAAAAGTCTAGTTAGCTAAACATAAAGGCCTTGTTTTCTTTACTAAACGAGAAAATGTACATGGATACAGATTTCCGTATTCCAGTTATCATTGCACTAATCCTCAGGACGGAACATAAATAAAAAGCACAACAAACAACATTTACATGACACAAAATAACATAAAAAGAAAAGAACTCAGTTGTAAAAAAAAAAATACTGTCGGTAGGAAAAGTGTGCACAGTCATATTTTGCACATAAACACTCGGAAATGCTGTTTTGAATTGCTAATGAATTCAAATTCGTTGAAACAAATTCGATTAGGCCATTAACTAATCGCATTTAACGTCATGTTTGAATGATACACAATTCAAAACAGCCGCGTTCTAGCCGCCGCATACCGTAAATAGCCGTTCCATTTCAATATTTTTGTATTAACCACATACATACATACGAGCACAACGTGTAAACTAATTGGTCAGGTGGGAGGAGGTTAAAGATAGCACTCGATCCTTGCTAAAGCTATTCCTGTTAAGGACTACAAACTTAGTAGGTAGTTCTCCTCAGTCTGTCAGTGCTCGAGAGCGCCCCCTAGCATTCGTCAATCGAGAGGCAGATAAACTCCTGAATACACTTTCTATACTGCTGCTCTGTGGGACTACTGCTGGGGTATTGACCTGGTTGTCCGAAGGGCCCGTCCGCTTCGCGCATCTCCTCGGTCATCCGGGCTAACCGCAATCTGACCGAGAGAGAGAGAGAACAAAAACATTGGCTTTCATGTGCAGTGGCACTCTGGGGGAATCTACAAAAGGAAGTGAAGTTCTTGACTCACAGGGTGACGATGTCCGCGTTGGCTGCCTGAACAGCAATGCTAAGAGGGTCCTGCCCGTCCTTGTCGACCTCCACCTGAGAGGCTCCTCGCTTCAGGAACAAACACACCTGTCTGTGGACACACGCATACAGTACACAAAGGGTTAAATGATAAGTTATTCTGAGGTAGATCGGCGTATTACTATGGTTTGGACAAATTGCCTCACAGACAATCAGTGTTGGGGAGTAACTAGTTACATGTAACGGAATTACGTA